TTTGTAATACGAGCTGTCCCCGTATTCTTTTATTACCTTTAGGAGGTTTGGCATGGAGATCAGCGGTTGGGTCAGGGTCAGCAGCACATCGTCTGCAAACAAGTTGGCCTTATATTCTCTCTTCCCTATGCTCACACCGTGAATAGATTTGTGTTGTCTGATCCTGGCTGCTAATGGTTCTAACGCCATAACGTACAGCAGGGGCGATAAAGGGCACCCTTGTCTCGTCCCATTTGAGATGGTGAAGGGCTCAGATAGGAAGCCTGCATTAAGAACTTGGGCGGTTGGTTCACTATACATCGCCTTGACCGCTGACCTGAACCCTTCCGGCATGCCAAATTTGATCATGACCATTTCCAGGAATGTCCAGTGCAGGCGGTCAAAGGCTTTCTCTGCGTCTAGGGCCATGATCAAACCCCCCCCTTTGTGTAGTTTGGGCAGGCTATGCAGTATGTCAATTACTTTTCTTGTGTTTTCCGCTCCTTGCCTCCCTGACACAAACCCGACCTGGTCGTTATGAATTAATTTCGGGAGAATTGAGCTCAGTCTGGTTGCGAATACTTTGGCGAATATTTTCGCGTCTGTATTGAGCAGGGAGATGGGTCTGAAGTTTTGTGGGTGTATTGGTGGTTTACCTGGTTTCGGAATTGTGATGATATGGGCTAATAGTGTATCTCGTGGTAACACTTGCTCCCTTGTCGCTTCCGTGTATGTGAGTGCGAGGTGGGGTGCCAGGATGTGTTGAAATTGTTTGTAGTAGCTGTTGTCCAGCCCATCCGGGCCTGGCGCTTTGCCTCTCGGCAGGTTTTTGATTATTATGTGGAGTTCCTCACTGGTTATGGGTTTAATGAGGTCCTCAGCTTGTTGGGGTGTGAGTGACGGTAAGTCTATCTTATCTAAATACGAGTTGATATGTTCTCGTGTGGGTTGAAAGGTGGCTTTGTCTATGTTCAAATTGTATAGGGTGGCATAGTATTTTGCAAATTCATTGCATATGTCCCTAGGGATCATTTTTTTTTCTCCTGATGGGGTCATTAGGTAGGCTATTTTTTGGTTCGCCCTTTGTTCCTGCAGTCTCTTAGCCAAAAGTTTGCTAGCCTTGTTCCCCTGTGTGTATTGTCTCGCTTTTAGTCTCTGGAGCATGTAGGCCGTTTGTTCTATTGCTTGTTGGTGTAGCTTGTGTGTGATGGTGGAAATTTGTCGTTTTAAGTCAGGGGACGGTGTTATTTGGTTGCGGGTGTTCAACAGGTGGAGTTCATTTCTCCATCGGGTGGTTTGGGCCATGGTCTGTTTGCGCAGGTATGCCGCTCGTTTTATAAATATCCCCCGAACCACTGCTTTGTGGGCAGCCCATATTGTGCTCTGGGACATCCCTACGGTGGTATTTTCCTCAAAGTATTTATTTAGAGCTTCGTCTACTTCCCTTTTGAATACGGGGTCCGTGATCAGGGAAGCGTTCAGCCTCCAAGGTCTCCGCTGTTTGTAGTCGTATTGGTCCCTAATTGTCAGTGTGACTGGGGCATGATCTGTCCAGGTAATCTGTCCTATGTCACATCCTGTTATTTGGTTCAGTCCCTGACCCTGAATGAGGATTCCGTCTATTCTCGAGTATGTATTATGGATCTGTGAAAAGTGTGTATATGCTTTCTCTGAGGTATTGGATATCCTCCACGTATCATAGTAGTGGTGTAAACTAAGGAGTTTTTGTATCTGTTTGCACTGCCTAGACAATATTCTGTATCTTGGGCTATGTCTTGAGATGTTAGTATCTAGTTTCGGATCCCAAACATGGTTGAAGTCCCCACATATAATGGATATCCCCTCCTGTATAGGTTGCAGTTTTTGGAGTACATGCTTCAGGAATTGACTTTGTTTCGTATTAGGGGAGTAATACTCGTTAGTGTGTATTTCATGCTGTTGATAGTGCATTTCACAATTATATACCTCCCATTTTCGTCCACCTCTGTAGAGGTCAGAGTAAACGCTACTTTCCCCGATATCAGTATGGACGTCCCCTTGGATTTGGTGGAGGACGTCGCGTGGAATTGATGCGGGTATGTCATTTTGGACGGTGGGATGAAATTATCAGTTTTGTAATGCGTCTCCTGGAGACAAATGATGTCTGCATCTAGCTTCTGGAGTTCCCTATGGAGTTGGTGTCGTTTGACCGGCAGATTTAACCCTCTAACGTTGAGAGAGTAGATTCTCATGGTGGTCTATACTCTATCTGTTTTGTGTTGGGTTTAATCAGTGTAAAGTTCCAACACGGGGGGTGCGCTCGCCCCAGCAGCATCGAGTCGAGCGACCTTCCCCTAATAGAGGGTAGGTTATGGGCATGTCTCGCTTGGGTGGTATGGGGGTGATAGGTCCTTGGGGGCTTCAACTCCCAGGTAATTGTCCTTTGTATGTGGGCTATCTTAGGGAGGTCGTGTGTGCCCTTAGGGCATGGTCTATTTTGGTTATCCCCGTCCAGACCTAAGGGGGTGGGGTAAAAGGGCAAAAACATGGGTAACATATAAAAACAGGTAAACATTTTAAACATTTGTATATACATTTGGTGTGCCTTGCTCGGCTAAGGTACTGCTCGGTACCTGTGGGGGTGGAAGCTGTAGCTTCCTCCTGGTGGGTTGTGCTCCCCGAGTGAACCCACTCTATGCATGTTATGCGTGTTCTTGGCATTTGGCGACAGGGCGTCCCCTGCTAGAGTGTGTAATCTCTATACATATCCATATAAACTTACAAAGATACATTCACTTACATCTTATTAACTTTTTTTTTCTTGCATAGTGTAGTTGTTGTAGATTGGGGTGTATCATATAGTCTTACATTAACTAAATACTCTTGCATGATATATACGATACCCTCGGTGAGTGTTCTTAGGCCGGGTCCTCTGGCCTTCCTGACAGCCAATTCTTTGGGAAAGTCCTTATAGTCGGTAAGACGCAGTCTCTTTTGTATCAGGCTTCCTGTGGGGTGTCTATGTGTTCACTCTTCCGCGGGTGTTGGTCGGTCTGTTCGGGTTGCGGCGGCGATCTTGCTCGGTTAGTCCCCATCTTTGTAGTAGGCAGGTGCCCTCTTCTGGCGAGTTGACGGTTGTCACTTTACCTCCTCTGGATACCAATACTTTCACCGGATATCCCCAGCGGTATGGGATTTTATGTGTCCGCAGCAGTTCCGTTACTGTCTTGAATTCTCGTCTTCTTTTTAGTGTGTACGTCGAGATGTCAGCATACACTAACACACCAACATACGGCTCCGGGAGGGTTTTCTTTGTGCGGCTTGTCTGTAGTACTGCCTCTTTCACATGGTAGTAATGCATTTTTATGAGCACGTCTTTAGGGGTGTCTTGCGGTAGAAATCTAGGCCGTGCCGTTCTATGGTAACGGTCCATCAGCAGTTGGTCCTGTGGGATATCTGGCGCCAGAACTTTAAGTAGGCCATATAAATGAGCAGCCAGCTCCGCCGGTCCTATTTCTTCTCTTACTCCCCGGATGCGCAGATTGTTGCGGCGGGCCCTGTCCTCCATGTCTGCGAGTTTTATTTCGTGCTCATGCAGTCTGTTGTGAAGTTCTGCAATCTCTTCCCTCATATCTCTTTGGGCCCCTGCTAGTTCCGCTATTTTTGTTTCATTCCCCCCTGTCCTCACGTCTAGCTCTTTAACTTCTTTGTGCAGTGCACCGATGGCAGCCTTGAGGCTGTTCTCAATTCGTGCTGACATACCTTCCAGCATTTCTTGTAGCATGTCTTTCGTGAGGAGGGGTTCACTATCCTGGCGCTGGCTGTGTCTATCTTCCAGCTCTTCGGCGCCATCTTGTGCATCTTCCTGCAGTGCAGTGTGTTTCCCTTTGCGGCGCTCGGGAGGTAAAGAACGCGTTTTTTTCGGCCTTTTCGGCCAATCTTTTATTCTTGGCTTGGGACATGGTGGGTAGGGAGGTATGTTGCCCCTTGTCTGTCCAGGTGTCGATGCCTATTACTCCTTAGTGGGTTCGTCGGAGCGGAGCGCTCAGCACATGCGGCCGCTCAGTCTCGCTGCCAGGCCACGCCCCCTGTTTTTTTTTTTTAAATAATGCAAATATTAAAATAATAATAATATAATAATAACATAATATTATTAAAATAATATTAAAATAATAATATTATTTTATTATTATATTATTATTTTAATATTTGCATTATTTTTTTTTAAAAATATTTTTTTTGTCCCCCCACCCTGGCCAGGCAACAAGCAGGGAGGGGGGACAAAAAACATTTAAAAAAAATAATACAAATATTAAAATAATAATAATATAATAATAAAATAATATTATTTTAATATTATTGTATTATTATTAAAATAAAATAATATTAAATCCCTGGTGGTCCAGTGGCATTGGTTGTTCAGTGGGGGGGCTGGCAGTGAGCTGTTACCTTCCTGCAGCTCCTGTCAGCTCCCTTCTCCTCCGTGCAGCTCCCCGGTAAGCTCCATTCTGTTTACAGTGTAAGTCTCACGAGACCCGCGGGTCTCACGAGATTTACACTGGGAGCATAACAGAGCTGTCAGAGGAGCTGCATGGAGGAGAAGGAAGCTGACAGGAGCTGCAGGAAGGTAAGTAACAGCTCACTGTCAGCCCCCAACAGGACCGCCGGGCTTGTAATGAGCCCGGCGGTCCTGGTCTGTATTATGGCAATGTAAGTTGCCACAATACAGACTGACTCGAGTATAAGCCGAGTTGGGGTTTTTCAGCACAAAAAATGTGCCGAAAAACTCGGCTTATACTTGAGTATATACAGTACTCTGTTTTTATGGTGATTTGGGAATTTTTGTTTTACTTGTCTTGGCACTTTATGGTCTTAAGATTGGGGGGAAAAATTGAATATGCTCAATCATGAC